CCTGACCAACAATTGAACATATTTCGCTGACATTTTAATTAATTTGGCACTCTGGACTCTTGCTTCCTCTTTTTTTCCTGGTTTTTCTAGGGATTTTGTTTTGGGGGGATACTCCGCTTAGACAGTTGCAACATTTAATAAAACTTAATCGCCAAATTAAATGACAACCACTTCTGGGGGAGATTTCTGAAGAGAGGAAGGAGTATGCTTTGGTTCTTAAATCAGAAAGGTAACGAGGTGGGAAATGGGGCGAGAAAATGTATACACAAATACTAAGCAGATATATATTATATATATAATTTATATTTAAGTAATTTAAAAAATATTTTAAATATAGTTTATATCCACCCTAGGAAATCCTTTCTCTTTTAAAGACAATCCTGACTTTATCATATATATCCTGACGCCATATCCCTGACTGATTCGTTTTCTCGGGCGATTTGTCCGCGACTTAGACGGGGTATATCTGAAAATCAAACAGATAAATTGCTGGCATTTTCCGCTCACGTGTGCGTGTGTGTCTTTCCCATGCAAGTGTCGTATCCTTTCACTCCATTCACCCCTTTTGCAACCCCTTTTTTCCGGTGGGTGCTCTGGTTTCCTGTGTTCCAGCCATGAAAATAAATTGGCATTATTAGGCGAGGCGGCTCAGCGAAAATTGATTATTGACAAAAGTCGCATTAAGCGGCGTTTTATGAGCGAAAAAAAAGCATGTCCTGAGGCCTGGCATTAAGGTTCGTAATGCGGTTCAAGCTGTCCTTGAAATTTCTTTCACATAAAAAAAGAGCAAAGGATACTATGTCTGTGGGAGTTTTTTTTTTTTAGAAATTATTTAAGGATATTTTTATTAAGCACCGAAAAAAAAGGAATATGCCTCTTTAAATAGATACAAAAATTTCCAAAGACTATTTCTAGTAGCTTATTACTTAAATCTTTAATAAAACTTGTATTTCTTCGCTTAAATTTCCAAGTAATTAAAGAAAAAGGAGCAACTTTGGTGTTTAATTTGAATTCCAGCACCTTTTTACTTGGCTCACTCTGCATTAATTATGAGAATCTGTCGCCTGGGGGTGCGAAAAACTTCTTAAAGTTGCCGCCTGCATAATTGAACAGGTTGCCAGGCAGTATATATACTTAAGGACCTTCGCATAATTAATTTCAATTACGATTTTGGCTCCCCAGTTAAGAATCCTTCTTCTGATTTTCACCACCACTTTTCGCTGTGACAACTCCTTGCAATTTGCTGGCGTTTTTCCCGCGCTTACCTGCCGCTGACACAGGACACAGCCTTCTGTTTCTGTTTCTGTATCCTTTCTAATTTCACTCTTAATCCTTTCGCTAGCTGTACGCCACTAATCCGGCCGAGTTTTACGGGTGCCGGCGGCGGTGGCCAAAAAGGGACAATGGCATCATCTATAAAAATGACAATTGCAAACAACAATGACGACAATCGCGGCAAGGGCAAACAGTAGTATGTGTGTGCGTCCCAGGACATGCACTCACTCCTTTCGCAGTGATCCTCAATCCGCGATCCGCGATCTGCGATCTGCGACCCTTTTTCACCTTCACTCCTTTTCGGCTATTCATAATTAGTTGCAGGCAATTAAGGCAGCCCCCGCGGTTGCCAGCAAGGACATATCCTGACCAGGATAATAGGCTCCTGAGAGAGACAGAGAGAGAGAGAGAGCACTAGCTGGGCGTGGCCAACTACAGCAGAGAGTGTGTCCTTTTGCAATTTGTTTATTTTGAAAACACAGCCGCACCCCTTTCGCCAGGATCGGCAAGGAGTATACATGATCCCCGGATTCCGTTGCCTTAATCCTTTGACTCCGATCGATCGATCGTCCTTAGTCCGGCTTTTTCCGGAAAGTGTGGCTTACTTTGGTTCCGCTGCTCTCCAAAAATTTGGTAATTAACATTTCGCCGAGGGCGTGGTCCTTCGCCCGAAGTCTAGAGACCCGAATCCTGAACCCGAAACCCCTTGAATCCCCGAAAATCAAGGCGATGCGGTGGGTGAGGCCCAGCAAAAGGGTTTAGTTTTAATTAGCTGACTTTGGACGCGCCTCGTTGCAGGAAAAATGCTGGAAAATCAGCGAAAGTGTCACAGAAATCAGTGAAATTCGATTTTCTCGGGGCGTGACGTTTACAAGAGTTTTAAAACATGAGAGAAAATAAGGAAAACAAAGTTAAAATTGTTGAAAACTAGGGATACTTTTAAGGTTATATGGTATATTTTACTTTAATTAAAAGTTAAGTTTAGTTTGTTGAGTTTATACAATTTTTTAGAATTTATATTTAGGTAATTTATATATTGTTTTTAATACAAAAGAGTCTAAATTAAAGAGCTAACTTATTTAAGACTAGGAAAACTCTCTGAGAATGTCAGGAAAGTATATAAGATACAATTTTTATTGTAAATATTATTTATTAAATATTATATATAATTTTAAAGACTAGTTTTAACTTAATCTCTGAAGAAATGTCTTCAAAAATATATTTAGAAACGAATAAATTAGCTAGAAATTTTGAATTTTTAAATATTTTCTATCAAGTTTTGTTTGATATTATTATTTTGTGAAAATAATTTAAAAGATTCTCAAGGTTTTTCTACTAAACTCACAGCATTTTAATCGAATTCCACCTGTTTAAGAAAACCTCCTTGTTTTTGTTTTCAAAAATATGCTGTTTTCTTACCTTTCAAGTGCACATTCTTGTAATTCTTCTGTCATTCTTCTGTCTGAGATTCATTCATGGCACAAATGAAAACATCTTCATTGGCAGATGCCACCCAAAATTATTGGCCAAGAACTCTTTTGTGGCCATTAACTAATGGCCCAAGGATCGGAACAAAGCCAACGCAGGTGGCCCTTGGCTCTCAGTGTTTGGAGTGTTTCTATTTACTTGTTTCAGTTTTACTTTTTCTTCTTTTTTTTTGTAAATTTTTGGTGACTTCATTTGGCCACACACACCCAGGGTAATGACAACAATTAGTGCAGCCGGAATTCGGTCAGTGACTAAACAGGATTTCAGCAGGACAAACACTCGACAGCATAATCAGGCAGCAGCAGGAGCAGCCAACTGCCACGTGGGGCGTCCCAGGATCACCAGGACATCACCAACACTCTCACAAATGGCGCAAAAATCGCAGACGCAAACGCAGACACTTCAATTATGAGTAAGGTAAATATTTGTATGCCAACAACGCAACAGGATATCAATTCACCGAAGCATTATCAAAATCAGCCCATGTGCAATGTGTGCCCATGCGTTTTGTCCTCCTTTTCCTTTTCATTACAAAATTTCCTTCTCTTTCTTTTCTTTTTTTTTTTTTTTTTTGAATAACTCAATTTGACACAAAAGTCAATGGATGAGTAGAAATGCGGAATCGAAGCAGCCGCTGCCACCCCGGAAGCCAAGTCGAACTGGAGTGCCAGGGTATTGTTTTGGCCAGATCAACGGGAGGCCCTCAGGATGTGCCAGGACTTCCTAGCTGGGATTTTTATTAAGTACAAGTTTTTTTTTTTTAATTTTTAAGAACCTTAGATTTACAAATATCTTAGTATTCTTCTTTAAAATGGGAGAATCTTAATTTAAAATATTTTATAATAGTTTTTTTAATAATAAAAATTAATAAACATATTAATAAAAAAAAACCATCAAATAATATAAACAAATTAATATGAATAATACGATTTATTGAGAAAAACCTGATTTTTAAGCTTTAAAAAATAATAAAATGTGAAAATAAAAATAAAATTATGTACCTTTTGTGCCTAAATGGAGTTATATATCTTAAATAATTTATAAAAATAATTTTAAAAAAAATTAAACAATAAATGACAAATGAAATAGATATATAATATACAATTTAGTATGGAAATCATTACTTTAGAGATGTAAAAATTATTAAAATAATATAATAAATATCAAAATATGTATCTTTTGTGCCTAAATGCAGTTATATATCTAAAATAATTTATTAAAAAAATAAGAAATAAAATAAAACAATAAATGACAAATAAAATAAATATAAAAACAATTATTTTAGAGCTTTAAACAAACATGGAAAGTGAAAATAAATATCCTATGATATATTTCCAGACCCAAAATGAACTCAAATATTATTCCTACAAACACTAACCATGTACAATTGATATTTGATATTATTTTGTGCATCTCCCCTTATTTGTTATTTTCTGCAGCATACATTTTTTGTTTCCCTGTTTTTTGCGCACACTTTTGATTCCGGGCAGCTGTTGTTGGCCTTCTGCCTGGATTTACGGCTAAGGATCGCCGGGATCGTCTCGAATTGCGTAAGCCATAAAAATCCAGGCCAGGACAGCAGCAGGACAAGAACTTCTGCGAAGGAGGAGGAGGCTGCCCTCGCGTGTCAGCCTAAAAAACTGCACACAACTGGAAGAAGTTCTTCGCACAAAAAAACACAACAAAAAGGATATATCCACGCGTCATAAAAAATAAACAGGACAAAGTTCTGCGAAAAAAGCAAAAACCGAACCGAAAACACGCAAAAAATTTTCGAAAACATTACGCAAAACGCGAACCGAGACTGTAAATCAAATAATAAACTCAAATAAAAAATAACGAAACTTGCCTTGGTTATGGTGGCCCTTGAGTTCAGTTTTTTAGTTCTGTAAGTCAGTTTTTTTCCTCTAGATCTTTTTTTGCGAACATTTTTACCACGAAAAATTGCTATAATATTGTTTTTGGCCAAGAGGGATCAGCAGGTTTATGGCCCACAGTCGAGATGATGTAACCGTGGACTCCTTGGCCAGGATCCGGGATCAGGGATCATAAAGTGTGTGCGGCTGCTAATGAAGTGTCCGAGGGTTTGGGAAAATCAAGAAAGTCTGAAGAGAAATGTAATATTAAGGCTATCATTCAACTATTTTCTATTTCAATTTATAAATATTTTTTAAATAGATTTTACTTAGATTTTTTCCCATCTACGTAGGCCTGGGAGCTAAAATGTCAATGCCCTCAATATTGGAAAAGTAAAACATTCATTTTTTACCTAGAATTCGTTCGGTTTACTTCCTATTTTTTTCGACGAAAGCCAAGCAAAATTAACAGACAAAACAATGTCGCTGAAAAGAATCCAAACCTTTAAAATTGCTGGTTGCAGTAAGTCTAAAATTTTACGTTATTTTACAAGTTCTTTCGCGAAATATTATTTTGTTTATTATTTCAGAGACCTTATTCAATAATATCGTAGATATAACCCGTCGCATGTACGCCGCTAGTCGCCCTAAAGAGGTTCCTTTGACAGGATCCCCCTTTGTGGAGCAGCGTCGTCGGTCCAACACCTCGCTAGCCCACCTCACCGCGCGGTCTCCCCACGCCTTGTCCCAGTCCATTGCCGACGGCAGGACGCAGCAGGAAGAGCGGCCGTTGCCCCAGCACGAGCCTGGACTGTTCAGTCTCATGCCACCGTTAAGGAGCACCAATCCAAACTCCTTGATGTTCCAGAAGGCCATTTTAAATAGGGAGCGGAGGCCGTTCTGCTTGCACGAGGACCCTCCAGTTAAGAATGTCACCAGCGTCGAGGTAAAGGGAAGCGAAATGCAAAAAAAGCTGCTAGATCTTCTGGATCAGCAGAAAAAGTTGGACAAATGGCGGCAAGATTGCTTTGATCGAAGGAGCGACCGGAGCAGGGTCAGGCTTAACCAAGAAACGTCCAGGAGGATTTCAAGGAACCTTGAAGAGCGGGTAGCAGCCAAGGACCTGGGCAAATGGGAGGCCCAGGACCTTTTCCGGCCAAGTGCTTTGGATTCCGCAACGTTTCTGGTAGCCACGAGGCAGGTTGATAAGTCGCCTAGATATCCATGGTGGCATGGAAGAATGACCACCTATGGCAGCTACAATCCAGACGAGGAGTTAGGCCATGAGCAGGTAAATTGCTACAATATATATAAATATAATTCGATATTTAAACGTCTCCGATCTCTATCTGCAGACTATGCCAAGCCCAGATTACACCTCCTCGTTTCAAAATCCCGGGAACCAGGGCATTATGAACACCATGCGACCGGTTTATCCTGGAGCATTCCAGCCAACGGAATCTATAAACGTTGTGCCCTCTCAGGAAACCCAAAGGGTTTCAGCTTTATCAAAGCTGGACAGGGCCCGGGAGGCATCGGATCTAGCGAGAAAATCACGGATGCCCCAATGGATGGCTAGAAAACGTTGTTAAAAGCGACAATAGCGACTCGAATCGTATCCATCATTATGTTGTCAAATCTTTAGTGTGAATTTTGTGGAATATTCGTGTTTGGACCAAACCTCATCTCATGCCACGAACTTCAAACTAAACAATTTTAAGCTCTACTGCTAATCTTGCAAGACGCCTTTGCATTTACTGATTGCTGAACGGATGTCTTGTGATCAAGGAAGAACGGATTTTTAATAGATGACATGGAATCCTGACTAGCTTGAGCTATATTCGGAGATCTGTTGAAAATCTACTGTGAGTTGGTTGAATATTTATTTGGAAAAGCACTAAAAGACTTACATTACAGACATATTCTTCCAGCACTCCTTTGTCTCATTGGACGCCTTGCAATTGAGGAAGAAATGATTTTTAATGGCTTGACGTATTATGATTGATTGTATGATCATCCAAAATGTTGAACAAACCTTGAGTGATTATGTAGTAGTCAAGCTATACTTCTCTTATACACAACTTCCTTATCAAAATTGTAAAATTTGTAATTTTTACCACAAGCAACTGCGTCAGTGATATTACTTTTTTGTAAATCTTTGTGTAAAAAAAACTATTGCCAGAATAACGGTTTGAATGTCTTTTGTTGTTCAACTTGGTGTGTGTGTGTGCTGGCATGATTAGCGTTTCTTTTTTTCCTCCCGAATGATGCCAATTTTCCAACTAACAAATTTTCCTAGTCTTTTCTATATTTCCGTGTGTGTGTGTTCCTTGGGTTCAAAGGGTTTGCCGAGCCAAAATATTTTCATTAGGGCGTTAATTATGTTTGAGCCAAAACATATCCATCGATGCCGCCTTGGATTCCATGTAAAAGGGACCTGGCAGGACATTTTGTATACCTCAAGCATGATCGGCAGATTTCCACGTGACCACGACTAATGGTTGCATCTTCCTAGCCGTTTTTGCTAATCATCTGTAACAAGAATGCAAAAAAGAAAAAAAAAAAGGGGTGGAGTTGGGTGAAACCCGAGGGCTCCGACGGAAATAAATGTAATTTATAACGACCGATCCAGACAATGCAACTGCAAAGTTGCAGACTTTTCAGTCGGTGAAAAGGGGAGAATCGAACAGAAGTTGGCACTGGAATTAAAACGAAAAATTGCAATCCACCCTGTCATTAGATGCCATCAATTGTTCGCAGGACTCTATTGTCCTTGACTTTGGCGAGGGGATCGAGGGGAGAGCGGAGTACCGAGAGGGGCTCGTTGACAGGGGGATATAAATGTTGTGATTTCTTAATTTTTGTTTGCATTTTTCTCAAATTTAGTAGGCTGTTGAGGTAATTACACTAATTATATGGCTCCGACTCTCAACCTTTTAGGGGTAGTTCTCGCTTCCATCGGAGGTCATCGTATATCGTAGCTCAGAGAAGCGGGAATCACTTGAGTGGGATAGTATGTACATATGTATGTTGTGAAAGTAAGTAGGCGGGTGTTAAGGGTCCGACACTATTCCGGGTGGAACTATCATAATTAATGGATCCATGCTTCGTCTTGGGTTTAGAGGTGCTTAGAGACTCTGTTTTACCATATTTCCGTCAAAAAACAAGCTCAGTTTAAGTTATTTTTTCAATTTCCTAGCATCAGGGATGAAAAAGATTGTTTTCTATCCCACCGAGTTGGTCATTACACAACTAAGTAGAGGCGAGAACACGCCACCCAGGATGGGATGACAGAAAAAGTCAGCGGGTTGGAAAAAAATAAAGATATTACAATTGAGTTGGAGATGAAGTCGACATTGTCATCAACATATAAATGACAACTATACCCCCAGAGGGTTGGTTGTTCCTTGGATTAATGGTATCAGGAGTCATGGATCCTGTAAAAACTTCAATCTAACATATCTAAATGAGCAAGAATATGTTGCCAGGCAAAATGTAGCTAAACAAATGTTGCCAGAAACCGCTTTGGTGCTGCTTCGCAGTCAAAGTAAGATGAGTAACTTCAAATGCAGAAAACAAATCGCAGTAGTCTGGAAAATACTGTCTTTAACATTTTTGATTCTATTAAAACCCTCTAACTCCCATTCAAATCGTAGCTATCATAGCAACAGTATCAAACGCTTTCGAAAAATATAAAAAAGAATATCCCAAGTCAAGTCTATATATATTTTTTAGGACAACTGATTAATAGGATTTCGCGTAAATTTCAAGTCTCACAATGTCGCACAGAGAATCCATGTAAGTTCCAGCCGCAGCTCGACAATATATGTAGTTTCAGCTCAGTAAATCTAGCCTTCCAGCTCCAGATCCACCGAGACGGATACCCACAGGATCAGTCTATACGAACTGGCCAGCTGTCGGGCCGAGAACTATCTGCTTAAGCAGAGGATGACCGAGTGCGAGGCCACCATGCAAAGCCTCAAGCAAATGGTCGCCACCATTGCGGACAAGCAACTCGAGATCCTTGGCGAGGTGAAGGAGCTGCGCAAAAACTGTGCGCCGTCCAAGATCCAAATAGTGGACTCATCGACATCGACCGTTCACGATGGCTGCATGCCGGACTCTGATTCCGACGACTGGAACTCCCAGGTCTTCTCCCCATACTTTTCGCCGCTGGCCTCATCCGATCCCGAGCTTGATCCCCCCCTGGAGCAGTATGATCTGGGTCGCAATCGTGGTCCGGCATGGAGTATCCTGTATTCCATCAAGGAGGAGAATGAGCAAGAGGATTCTCAGGAAGATGTAATGAATTATCAAGTTGAACTGGACCAAACGGATGCTCAGCCTGTGTCGCAGATTTACCAGCATCGCCTGGAGGACACCTGGGCTGACGAAAGCGACAACTAAGAGCACTCGCAGCTTTAAATATATATAATGTACAACTATACAAATACATAGTTAATATGAGCAGCAGCTGACAAGGACAATAGGGGTTTCTAGGGGGAGGTTTTGCCCACTCTTTCCTGCTGGCAAATGACCCGAGACTTTAGACATCATCATTACCATGAAAATCCGTGGAAAAATCATCATCAACAAAATGAAATGCATACGAAATGAAATTGAACAAATGTATATATATATGGGTGGTGTTTTCTCTTATATATGTATGTATATATTGTGTGTGTGTTTTTACTGATGGCCGACTGACATATTTTATGCATTTGGCATTTTGGCTGAAGTGGCGGAATCAAAGCCAGAGCCAGGGACAGCTCATAAATAAGTAAATAAAATGCTGCATAATTTATGCATTTAATGTAAACAGACAATTTGGCGCAACTTTTGGGCGGCAGTGAAGAAGGAGCTCAAGACATTCATGTAACAAGGAAATAAGGTTGCGAGGGTAGTTTTTAAAATTAAAACGGTCAACCGAAAATATTGAAGGGAGAAAACGTTCTAGAAATAGTTACAAGGAAACTATAAATGCAAAAATTATTTGTTATATATAAATAAAAATTCAAAATTAAAAAAAAAAAAAAAAAAAAAAAAATTCATATATTTTAAAATTAATTAATCCCTAATATTATTTTATATTAATATACAAATTTAAGATATTAACATATATTTTAGCATTTTTATTATTATTATTTAGTTTTATTAAGAAAATTAGATATACAGATTTTTAGCTAAAATTTTTACATATAAAAAAACCGTCTGGCCATATTTTATATTTTATAATATATATATTTTCCTATAACATATACTATTTATTAAGTAAATGTCCAAAAAGTTCAAAATTGCATTTTAATAATTAATATCCATAATATCCCAGAACTGTGTAAGCGCCCCTCGCTAACCTTATTCAAAAATGATTTTAGCTGACAGCCAACAGTCAGCGCCGTGTCAGAAATCACAGGCAAAAAATAAAAAACACCCAAAAGAAATGCGAACAAGGTCTTGGGGTGTGGAGAAAAAGTGAAAAAAAAGATATATATATATATAAAACCAGGACGAAGGACGAGAGTCCTGAAATAGGGGGAAAGGGAGAGACGACGGGAACGGCAACGGGAACGGGACAGGCACTTGATGAGCAAATCAGGGCCATGGTTCATTGACGTAGCAAATTGGAACTTCCTCTGGGAGCGGCGATGAAAATGATGACAAGGATGTGAATAAGGACGAAGGACTCCCAGAAGAAAACTTAAGTAGCGCCAGGTAAAATGGGAATGGATGTGGAAGTGGAATGAAAATGGAAATGGAACCGAGAGAGAACGAGAGCGGAAGTGCAGTATCCGAGAATGTTGTATCTGAGAGATACGCATATAAATGTAACTGATAAGCGAAGCATGGCGAAGTGCGGCAACTTCTTGGATTACAAGACATTCAATTTTCCAATTTTCCATCGCCCAACCCCTTGCAGTTGCCCTCCCTCCTCCCATTCCCATTTCCCCTTTTGAATTAAGAGAGCACAAGTTGCCGCATTCATTCGCCAATATCTGTCGCATCTTTTGTGCATGTCCCAGGGCCCCCGAGTTTGTTTACCCCTCGGATGCGCAGATACAAAGATGCGCAGATACAAATCGCATTACAGATTACAGTGCGAAACGTGTGCGAAACGATCTGCCAGTTGATCTAGCGATGAGCTCGTAAAAATTACATCTCCGAGGATGAGAAACCGAGCCGGGTGCCCCGACTGCCTGCCTGCCTGCCTTGGGAACATCAAAGCGCAGGGAAACTGCTTACATAAACCGTACTTTGTTGTTGCCCATTAAAAATGAATGATCTTAACAAGAAAAATGGAATTAAACGATATTGGAAAATAAATTAAAACAGCGAAAAAGGAGCACTTTGCATGTGCTTGGGATTGGTTATATCCTTAACATCGCAGGATACTACTTGTAAAGTTAGCAAAAAAAAAACAACTTCAGCTTAAGATCTAAGCTGACAACCAGCAGTTCCAAGTACTTTATGTCTTATATATTTCTATTTAGTTTTTTTTTTTTTTTTTTTTACAAAAGAAGCTTAATAAAATTAAAATAAAAATAAACGAAAATGCAAAGTAAATTGTGGCACAAAAAATATGCCTAATCACTCATGAATCACCATGTCAATTATACTAATTAAAACAAAAAACAAAAACAATTAATAAACTTGCTAAAAAAAAAGATGTAAAAAAATAACAAGATAAATTAAGAAAAGAAAATAAAATTATTCAAGTCCACCCGGCTGAGCAGCCAAGACTTGAATGAAAATATGAAAGGAATATGTTTGGCACGAAAGGTTTTCACAAAACCGAAAAGTCAAAGCCTTCTAAGCCATTTCGGTTAAATTACAGTTATATTAGCTTACAGGATCCAAAGGGTTGCCATGGGGTTTTCAACAAATTAAGCACTTTATTATATATATATATTAAATACATATATTAATGATTATATGATTACTATTTTAGTTTAATATTAATATTAACTACTTAATAAAGTATTAAAAATAAAATATTTCCCTTTGGGTCTCTAATTCTTGACATTCCCAACAAATTTGGGTAACCTTTTCCCCATTTTTGAAACGAAATTCCCTCCGAATTGAGCCATAAACGATGGTCCCTCATTAATAACCATAATTCCGATGGCGCTTAAAATATGTTTGACAGCCTTAATTGGTGCTGTCTTTGGAGATCGACGCTTGAGGATCGATGCCAACTGGTGACTGCTGAATGGTTAATGGATAATGGTTAAACGGCTAATGGCTACTTCCGCCCCATCGACTGGACATGTGCATGTGCACTGGGATCTTCGCATTTTCGCCTTTTCCCTCGTTTTTTTTTTTTTTAATTTAGTAATTTGGGCTCATTAAAATGGTTCCGCCACCAGGCGAGAGCAAAGTGTCATTCCGAAAAGGGGAACGCCGCGACATGTGGGAAATGAGCTATAAAAAATATATATATATATATATATGTATTTACCCATATGTAGGGGCGTCAGAGGGCCCAGGAAATCGAGAGACAATAGAATTGCGGCGGTAATTGTTGGCGTTGGTCATGGTGAACCGTAACAACAGCAACTGTCAGGGGGACCCTTTGGAGGAATCGGAAGAAAAAAAAAAAAAACAGAAAAAAAGAAGGCACCGAAAACCCCGAATTAGGGGAACGGCTGGGACAAGTGCAGGGCCAAGGGACGCGGAAAAAAGAACACGTGCGTGGGAGTAGGGGCTCTAATTAGGCCCAGAAACAGTGGAATACACAGCGAGATAAATTCATTTTAAAATTTTTAAATTCAATACTTAATTGGTGAAATATGTAAGTTATAAATAAATAGCAGTTTCTATTTAAGGTGAATAAAAAAAATAAAATTTTAAATTTAGAAAAGTGTTTTAAATTGTTACAAAATGAAGCAAGCAATTAAGCCAGCAACATCAGCTTGCAGATCTAGAATTATCATTTTGCAAATGGTCTTCATATAAATAAGATAATTCAAAATCTTCTGAAAATAACAGAAAAAGAAGCATTAAAAAATATAAATTTATCTAGATATTTAAATTTGTAAATTTTGTATATCTTAATTAATTAATTTTAACTTTTAGTGTATAAATATTAATAATTGTTCGTTATATTTTTGTATTATTTTTTATTTTTAATTATTTTTTTTTTATTATTATTTTTATATCTATGATTTTTGGCATATTTGTAACGTTTTTCATTACCTCAACTTCACCTTAAGACCTGTAATTTTTCACTGTGCACAACCTCAACATCTGGCTATAGCTTCACCCTTTCGGGCTGGCCGTGTTTGTTGTTACTGTGATGTTTGCGTAGGTTTATGTAAATTAGCCCAAGCCCAGGTCGATGGGTCAGCGCAGGAGGCCGAGGACGCAAATGATTCCCAGAAGGCAACAGTAACTGCAACTGCAAATGCAACTGCAACTGCGTAAGGAGGCTGGGTGCAACTTTTTCCCTTTCATTCACACAAATGGTAAAACAAATGTTTAAGCACTGAGAAAAATATTTATAAGGTATTAAAATATTAACTAATGAAAATATTTAAACTAATTTAGAAAGACTATACATTTTTTTATATAATAAAAAAAAAAACCTTTTTATATTCTGTTAAATGTATTTTGTACATTTTAAATGTATTTAAGAAATACACAAAAAATTGTAATTTTTATATTTTTTGTATATCTTAGAAACTTTAACTAGATACTTAACTTTTTTTTTAAATTTATTTAAAACACCTGAATATGTAGTACATTTTTTCCAGTGCCTTTTCCCTGCAATATTTGCTGTTGGAACTTTATGACATTACGTTTTTCGGGAGGCTGTCATAAAACCCTTTTAGCGGCGTGCGCGCAAGGACCTCAAAACAAGAAAGGAAGGCGGCTCGCGGCTCGATAGAAAAGGATCACAACGGATAGCAACGGATCAGATCGGTATAACTAAAAACGGACCACCCTGAACAAGCAGCCACTGTTGATTTTTCGCGGTCTAATAAAAACTTGCCAACAACAAATGCAGTGGGAAAACAAGCCGTTTTCATCCTCAAAGAGTTGTACCACGCACTTTTCCAAGGAAATCACAAAAACCCTTCGGTTTTCCGCTTGTTTTCCTTGGGTGTGAGCATTTGCATAACGCCGCCAATGCCGAGGATGTTGGTATGAGGAAAGAGTATCATCTGAAAAGTATAACTAAAATACATTTTACAACAAATATTTCAATGTTATTCACAGTTTATGGAACTCTATATATTTTTTATAACAGGAAAGTAATAAAGTAAGAATTTCATTTCTCTCCAGCCTTGGACTTTCAAACCCTGTTAGTTTTAAATTATCACAAATTAGTTATTTGCAACCGGTTTTTCGCATTAATATCCAAAGATTGTATGTGAGTTGCACTTTAACTTTAACTAGTGGTTGAACCCTATTTGAATTTCCTCATCGAAATGTCTTTCAGGAAAATATATGTCAATAATAATTAAGGATTAAGGTTAAGATATAAGTTTTAAATCTTATATATACTTTAGGAGCTTTATGTTATCGGTTACTCTGCTTTTATGGTCCACCCTAATCCATGCAAACTCTAGACGCCCAGCTGAAACCTGAACTTTGTTTATTAAGCTCTCCGGTGGGCGATGACGATGACGTAGCTTGTCATCGGAACCGAGCCGGAACCCGAAATACATGCGAATCCGAATCGAAATGATCAGGCCACCGGGCAAAGGCCTCAGAACCGTCTGATAAGTTATCAGCTGAGCTCCGCCCGCTCCCTCCCGCCGACCTTCTGTCAATAAATATTAAATACAAAAAAAAATCCGCTGAGTTGGCAGCATATGGAAGAGCAAAACAAAAAAGGAAAGAGAGCTTTTTTGGAGGCGGGCCGGGGGCACTGATCCCAAACCTCGTTATCGTAATTTAATAGTTTAACAATAAATCTTCACATACTCTGCCGAGAGACCCCATGGAACAAATAAAAACACAATGAGATGGCATTTAGAAAAAAAAAGAACGTAGCAAAGTTTATTTTTGAGGCAGGCCCAAGTATTTACAAATCGATGACGACGGGGCTCTGCTCCCGCTTAGTAAAATAATGCTGCTGATACCAGATATCGAATATCGAATATCGGATGGCGGATTATGGATGGCTATAAACAGTCGACCTTGAGGTAAATGCGTTGCTCGCTGGCCAGCAGCGCGAACTTGGCGTCAAAGCGTATACGCTCCACGGTGCGATCGCAGATCTCCACGCGATGCTGGTGCAGAAAGTAGATCAGGCCAAGCTTAATCTGAAGCAGGCCTATCTGCATACCGATGCAGTTGTGGGGACCCGCCCCAAAGGGCAGGTAAGACATGGGCGCATGAAGAGCCTTATTCACTGCATTGAAGCGCTCCGGGTCGAAGCGTTCCGGATCTGGCCAGTACTGCAAGAGAAAAGCATTTCGATTTAAGATAAATATGCCTAACAACAACTTGTTTAATAAATTAATTAATATCCCTAAGATAAAGCTTACTTTTGGATCGTGATGAATGGCCAGATTGGATATGAAGACCGGCATTCCCCGGCGGGCATAGCACTCGGCATGGGGCCTCAGTGAATAGAAGCGCTTCTTGTTGATCGGTGTACACTCCCTTTCCAGCAGCGGTACGATGGGATACTTGCGCAGCGTCTCCTCCACGACCATGTCCAGGAACTGCATCCGGGCAATCACTTCATAGGACAGTTTACCGTTGGCGTTTTCCCCGAAGGCCTCACGAATCTCGCGACGCAGGCGGGACTGCATAAGCGGCTGCTTGGCCAGCTCGTAGAGGGCAAAGGACATGCTGGAAGAACAGGTCTCGATGCCAGCCAACTCAAAGGAAGCCGCCTGAGCGGCCAGAAAGTCGCGGTGATGCGTGAAGTGCGACTTGTCTTGCTGCAGATCCGCCTCCTTCTTAAGGGTCAGCAGCATCTCGATGAGATCGTTGCGCAGATCACCGCCGCGCTCTCGCTCCTCGATCACCAGCTGGATCACTCGGCGCAGGAATTCCGCATGCGGTTCCGTAAAAAGTTTGGGCCTCAGCAGAGGAACCAATTTGGGCAGGTAAAAAATCACAAACAAATCGATTATCCTTCTCATGTTTGGCCGAAATAGGTCCTGACAGTGTGAACCAATTTCAGACTGCGTATTCCGCAAGCTATACGATCTCAAACCGAAGGCGATGCTAGCGATCATATCCGTGTTATATAGATCACACACATCCTTGATGCTCACGATTGCCCCGCGCTCGGCGTCTCCGCGTCGAAGATCGCGAGTCAGACGCTTCAGATACCACTCCAAATCGCATCCAATCTAGATAATAGAAACAAAAACACAAATATTTAAAGTTATATAATAAATTCTGAACGAATTTATATCCCTGATAAAAGCACGATTTCCTGTTTGCTTTGCATTTATTAAGAGAGTTGTAGCCTCCACAAACATTTCATTCGCACAAAATTTGCATTATCAGAATGATTAGTCATTTCTGATTTTTAATTTAGTTGTTCTTGTGTTTTGGTGCCTTGTTTTATACCAATCGATTTGCATTTTAACACTGCGGTTCACTGCCAAAAAGTTATATACACTTATAAAAGTGCTTCAGGAAAAGAATGGTACGATAGTTTTGATCTTTGATAAGAAAAAATTATTGATAAGCCCCAAATAGAAACACGCGTAGGTTAGAAATACCGTTTATCAGACTCTGGCACAAGCCATCTTTAAGTTCCCTTGATACTACACAGAGAAAAATGAGGTCAGTTTTGAGTAAACTTGAAAATAAAAATAAAAAATAAAATGAAACGTATCCTAACCACAGAATACAAGGCTCCGAATTTAAGTTACTACACTTAAAAATATTGTTTAAAAAATTTCTTATAAAGAAAAAATTTTAAAAATCAGATGTAGACTCTGAATAGAATTCCAAATTCTATATAAATATTTCTACGTCAAAGGTAAGGTGTTATTTTATATAAACATTTTTTTACGAAAAACAAATTTTATATATAGATATAATTTACTGCGATTAATGTACTCCCCGGAACTCGCAGTGTGCCGCGTTAACCCAACTTCTGAGATCGTTCGAAAAAAAAACTTACTCATGAGTCATGACTCACCTCCTCCATAAGCGAGAACATCTGTTTGAGCTTGGCGCCGGCAAAGGCGGGTGCCAACCGGGTGCGGATCTCGCGCCACTCTGGCTGCTTGGCCAGGAAGAGGGATAGGGCGCCCATCTTGTCGCTCCGGCCGTCGCACTTGGCGAACCTGTTCGAGAAGCTGACAAAGTCCTCGACAAGAACGGTGCGTACCAGTTCAAGGTCCCGGATAAGCAAGGCCGGTTGGTGGAACAGGTAAATACCCACTACTGGCTCGTTACGGAAGCGCTCGTCGAAATAGAAGCGACGCAGCTGCAGGGCAAAGGACTCCTCCAGGCGCAGGACGCGGGTCAGGTTGCCGAGCAAGTGCGTCGGCTGGACGAACTTTACGCGACGTCGCTGCCAATAAACGTAAGTGCGGCGCGACCATATGAACACCGCCGTCAGGATCGTGACTATGGCCAGCAGGATGTTCGTCGAGTACACCATTTCTGGGGGCTGCAAGGATGCGGGACAGGAGTAGTGTGGATACGGAGTGTGCAGAATTATTAAATCGCCGATTTTGAGGCTGTTTTTTGCTGCGTTTATTAAGAGGTTTGCACTTGCTCCCGACTGTGTGTCCCTGTAGATCACACTCGCACTGAGCTTTGGAGCTAAAATCTTGGATTTCCTCAGAGATCTTCTGTTTTCTTTCAATATTCGTTAGCCAGCTTTCAGACAGTAATTTCCAAGAGGATCCTGTAGTTGTCTTTGTTAAAAAAAATTTACTTTTTGCTTATACTTATGTGGTGGTTATCCAGTCATTGTTCTTGTATTTGTTTCGTACTTCTTGTTATGAATTATTTTCAAGGTTCTCACCAGATCTTTAAGCTTTCATTGTGTTTGTTTCCGGGAATATAATATCCTTTTTCGGAGAATCCTTTATTTGGTTCTTTTGTTTCGAGGTTTTTGTTTCTTTATTGCTGATGATTTTATATTGTTTTAAGTTTTAAACTTTTAAATTCGGCTCCAAAATGTTCGTGCTTTGCATAATTATTTTTTAAGTTTCCATTTCATTGTCGTTTAATTTTGTATATAAAAAAAATAGTTAAAACCTATCTATGCATATTTTGTATATTTTTTGGCGTTGAATATTATATGTAATTTTTTTTTTTTTAATTTCTGTAAAATTTAGTATTTGTCTGCGAGGGTTTATTGCTTGATAATTATTTGTAGTTGCTAGATAATTTTTTTGCCAATTATTTGCTTTGGTTTGTTGTTATTGCTTGTGCCTTTTGTCTTTTATCGTTATTCCTCCTTCGCTTTGAATTTTAAGTTTCGTTCTTCTCTGCTCGTGTTCTCATTTTCCTCTTTGCAGCTCCTTTCGCCTCCGATTGTTGACGCTTATTTTTGTGGTGGTTTTTGCGGTTTTGCGTGTTGTTGCTTTCCTCTATGCTTTTTGTTGCTGTTGCTCTCCTTTTCGTGCAGCAATCTCGCCGCGTTTTATAAATAAATACTTAACAAATTATATCACATATTTGAAACAACTACAAAAAAAATAAAACAGAACCATAAAAAAGGTTAAGATCGGTATAAATATTACAAAAATGCAGGGCAAAAACAACGCGACGTCAACAACAAATGAAAGAGACGATTACGAAGAAGCAGAACAGCCACGCCGAACAAGCCGCAGAAGAAGCAGAGCACGAATAAGCAGCACAGCGAATCTGCGATAGAGAGCACTAGAGAGCGGCAGAGCGAGAAGAGAGAGAGCGGCAAGCTCTTGTGGCGAAAGGTAAAAACCGCGGATTACGAATTGCGATTTCCGAATTGCGAATTACAAATAGAAAATACAAAAAATATATAAATAAAAACGCTGGCTAGCTCCACAAAGCGACGCTTTCAACTGATGCGACGTCGACGGCGGCGGGCCCCACGAAGGCAGCGACGTTGGCAGCGGCGCAACTCGATGGCCTTTTATCATGTGGTCGCCGGAGCCAGAGAGAAGAGCAGCGACCGCAGACGACGACGCCCGCCCCCATCGTTGTTTTTTTTATTAACCGCAAGTTTGCGGGTGGGCAGAGAACAAAGCGCCAGAGAGGCAGATCTCGCCAGAACGTGAGAGAGCGAAGGCAAGAGAGCCCAGTTTTGCGAGAAATTGAAAGAGTCATCCATGCTCAGCTTTGCAGGCACATGTGTGCTTAACAGTGGAACGAAAGGAGTTGAAAAACTGGCAAATTCATTGCGAAGACTCTGAAACAATAAAAGTTATACCCTTGCATTGTTTATTAATTAATATTAACTCTGTTGTTTTTCAAGGTTTTTGTATCTATTCTGAGATATGCGCGTTTGTATAATTCAGAATTTCAGTTTTAATTTTATACAAATCGGACAAATAGCATATAATAATTGAATAATAATAATTGAAAACCGCAATGGTTAACAAACTTTGCCGACTTGTCCTGTTTAAAACAAAATTGGTAAGATAATTTTCTTTGATCCTTTATTCATTACTTTTTTTAAAGGAATCCCATGACCACATGCACAACTGTTGTATGAAAACATATATTTTGGCTGTGCAATCAGTTGATTTGGTCGGTTTCGACCCACTGTATGTGACAGAAAGATGCCAAAGCACAAAGTAGACCGCAAATAAAAGTGACGATTAAAAGCGAAACTGCGCTAGCGTCGCTGCCGCTGCCAGCGTCGCCGCTTGCGCTCCACGTGACGGCGACCGCGAATCTTTCGATGAAAACAAACGGGGAGAGCGCGCGAGCTAGAGGGAGAAAAAGCCTGTGGGAGAGGAGGAGGGAGATAACGTTGCCGGGTGCAAGACAATTGTCACTTGTTGTTGTTGCTATCGGCCCCGCTTTTTTGTTTTCTGTTTTCGTGTTCGTGGGCCGATTTATAAATAAACGCGCGATTGCTTTTGCTCTGCTTTTACTTTTAACTTTTGCTTGTCTGCCGTTTCTTCTTCTTCCTTGTCTTCTCCTTTGTTGTTGTTGCGCTTCAGCTGTTTTGTTTTCGCCTCTTCTTCTTTGTCGCCAAAAGGCGAAGTATCGAAAGTTGCCCTGGTTTTTTTCCAGGGCTGCGTAGTACGAAAAAGCAACACTGCGAGAAAGTGGGCGCCAAAATTGAAAACTAATAAAAAAAACTAGTGGGGTTTCGAAAATGATCGATATTTAGTGGAGCCTCAATAAAGTAAATGCGTACTTTTGTAAAAAATAACAAATTGTAAATAATACAATCTAGAGAACACAATCTTTAAATATGTTTCAATATTAATTTTTTTAACCATAAAAAATAAGTATTTCTTCGAATGTGGCTTATTTTAAACAACCACTGTGGGGTTAAGTAACTTTTTCGTCCAGAACTAAAAAAAACCCCCACACTTTGTTGGACAAATTGCCAAAACAGAGGAAAAAGGAAACTCCATTTACAACAATTGACAGAAATTTGCACTTGGTGTGGATGGTAAACTTTCGGTTCGTTTTCCCCCCAATTTTCCCCCACACCCCGGAAAAGTGTGCTAAAGTTACAAATGTGCAACATTTCCGCTTGTTTGTATGTCGTCTACTTTTGGGACACGACACCGAAAACTGTTGGCCACATTGATGGCTCACATCGGTTTCTCAGGGGTTACAGGCTGCTTCAGGGGGTTAGGTCTAGCTTTGATTAAATTTCACGCACGACCGCACGGAAAGGGTTTTTCAATAGTGTGGGGGTGGGGAGGCTTTGGAGATTCCCCGGACTTTACCTTTCGGAAACACACACTCGCCACAGTTCGATTTGCAAAGACGCAACACGGCCTATGGTGGAAAATGTCTCATGACTACTAAATCAAGTGAAAGATTTGTGGCGATCCCTAGGGATTTCAATGGATATTATATTTATTTATTACATATTTTTAAAATCGACGGAAATCGCTAAATAAAACTGTTACTATATTATATTGTAAATTCTGGAAAAAATACACATTTACAGATTCCTAACTTGAAGAGATCTTATTTACAGCTTTTAAAAGTACCAATCATCATCATATTTTTAAACAGCATCAACAGCCGTGTCAATCTAGACATCTGCGCCTGCCCGTTTCTTCGCTAACTAGTCTCTGAATTTGGAAGCTATCTTAATTAAACTTTGCTGATAATTTTATTTCTATTTTCTTTAGCAATATATGTACACATATATATTTTTTTAAAGCTGTCGTTTACCATATTGTCAGTGCTCACTGTACCGAAGCTGGCACTGTGTCAATAATCTCCGTCGCTTATGCACACAACGGCTCTGCAAACACCAGCGCACTTGTCGCAACAAACCGCCTTGGCGTCCCCTCCCCGGAAAAACCGCCTTCCCCTGCCACCCCACCCCATTCTGTATCGCGGTGGTGCCCACCCATCAAAATCAGCTCAGCGCAAATCAAAGCCGTCTCAATCGACAAACGACAAACAAACAAACAAACAAATAGACAGGCAAACAGACAAACATTTGTGCATTTCAAGTCGCTGGCGACAGTGGGTTAAGTGTGGGCGTGGCAGGGTGGAAAATTTGCTATTCCTATTTAGTTTTAGGCCTTGTGCGCGACTTTGTTTTCATTCCATTTGCGCTGTTTGCATTGGAAATCTTTTAATTATTATCACGCATGTTTCCCTTCAACCGAAAGTAGTTTTCACTTGTGGGAGTTGCGCCAGGTGGTTGGGTGAGGGAAAATGTTTGAATTAGCGATAATATGGAATCTTTGGATGAATAAAATTGATTTATATTGATAATTACATGGATCACATTAGAAAATTAATATTTCAATATGATATTTACTCAAGAATAAACTAATAAAAAATGTTAAATTGATTTGAAAAACTGAAAACATACTGTTGAATTTTCGTAAATATTTTTGTATATAATCCACCCTTTGATGTGTGAGGAAGAAAAGAAAATATTTGCAAAGAAATTTGCAAAGTATTTGCTTACCCTTCCCCCGCCTCTATTTCCCATTTTCCATTTCCCATGCAATTTGCAGCCCTTGTAGTTTTGCATCATCTCCTTGTAATTAACCCTCCTCCATATCCACAACGAAGATTTCTCAGATATTTTCGAGAATGCCTCATTAGCAAATGCTAACGTATCTGCAAGATACACACATCCTTCCACCTGCCCGCATTCCGCTTAAGATACACTGACCATCTACGAAAACTACAAACAAAAAAAAAAACCTACATAAACACACATGGTCCAGTAATCCCGGGCTCTAATCCCTCGTTTTGATGTTGCACCGCTTTTTATGAGATATGTGGCAATACATATAGTATCTCTTGGAGATCGAGATAAAGTGCGCAAAATAGATGCGTAATTTGACGTTAATGTTACGCTAATAATAATCTGTCAGCAGGCATTATCTTTCGAGAAAGGCAGGCAGCTGATCCTTAGGATATGTGTGTGTACACTGAGGAAAACGTAGACTTGTGATTTATAGAAATATCAAGCATAATAAAAAAAAAGTTTTAAAAATCAAATACTTTTCCGTTATAAATTTTAACTTTTTATGTTTTTAATTTATATATAATTATATTTTTTTTTATTTCAGTGTACACATGTGTATCTTATTTTTTGTTGCCAGATTGCGATCGTGCAGTAATGTGCTTAGGACCTTTTCCATCTTTTCAGCTCGTTTCCTTGGCCTAAGTTGCATTGTTGTGTTTGCCATTTTGACGGGTTTCGATTACTCCTTGTTACCAATTTGCCCCGACTCCTTGAATTTTTTTTCCGAAGGATCCAGATACAGATACAGAGAGAGAGGCAGAGCATCCTTAAATGTCCCTTCATGTGTGTAATCCACTCGGCTCGTTTCTGCCGTAGGTTAAATGATGCGCACCTAAGTTGAGCAAATTTCAATTCCCTTATCTTTTTTGCCACTGTTTTGATTTTTTTTGTTTTGTTTTTTAAAGACGAAGGTAAATTGCAGAGAATGCAAAATAAATAAAGGCCATTAAAGACTACTTTTTAGTCGAAAATTACATAATTTGGATGGGAAACAAGGAAGAAGATATTTCTATAACAAATCTATCTATCTATCTATCACTATTTAAATAGTGTGTATTTACTAATAATATAATATAATTTCATAGAAAAACACCAACAATATTGTATGATAAAAGAACTTCAAATACCCCTTATTCTGGGCTTCAGGTCAGTCGGTAAACCCTGTTAGTTCCATTAGTCCTTGACTGAAAACCTGGCCATAAAGTCAAACCCAACAAATGCAAAGTCAAAACGCAGTGACTGACAAAAATCCTCCTCCTTCAGAAAAATCCATCGCAAGACATTAAAAAGAACTTAGAGAAAGGATTCGCTTCCCCGAAAAGCAAAAAATAAAAAATAAAAATAAAACTAAGGCAGAAAACCCGAATCGAACTGCACTAGAAACCTACAAACCTAAATATACTGGGTCAAGTTCTAAGTAAAGAGTTGACCTATACCAAAAAACTAACCCACCCAAAAAACAAACAATAATAATAAAGAAAAACACACAAAAAACGCACAAAAATCGCAGAAGGGCCACAAAAAACGGCTGTAAAACGCAATACCTGGTAGTTTCGAGGTAAAACGGTCAACGAAATTTACCCGGCTTAACCCCTTTGCGCCGTTTCGCGAACAATTGCAAATTGTATTTGTAGAGCGAAAAGGGGTTAACAAAGCAAGGGGTGTAAAAAAAAAAACTCAGGGAAAAGGACCTCAGGTCAGTTTCGGTGTTAACCCTTAGGAACTATTTTTTGGCAATGCAAATAAATGTGTTTTGTGAAGGTATGACACTGGTTTGAAAATTTGTATATAATTATTATAAATAATGATTTATTTCGAGTGTTTATAAAAGTTTATAATAATAATTTTTCTGAAAAAATGTTTAAAAATATATGTAAGACATAGAACCAAGAGGAATATACTTAAAAATGTAATTTGAAAATCTTTAAATGAGTATTTATTAATTTTTAATATTTATAATGAATTTTTCGGACTGGTTTTTCTTTATTTTCGAATAGTTTGATCACTGTTTTCTCTACTAAAAATATTTAAATAACTAAACATACATTTTTTAAATTATATATTAAAATAAATACCGACCAGTGTCATACAGACATAATATGTTATTTAGTCTAAAAATGCAAATCTGCATTACTTTTTAAGTTACTTCCCTTGCTGCACTTTTTGTCCTGCTG